CTCAAATCGAAAAAAAATGAGTTTCAGGGTTCAGACCAAAATATATAAGTATCTCAGCATCTCTCAGCATGTAACACGGCTAGCATCCTTCAAGTTTTCACCTCCCAACGCTGGTTCGGTACGTGGACTTCGGCAGGTTCCAATTTCGCAACTCACTATAATCCTGTAGTCTTTTTTTTGCTGTACCTTCCAAAAAGTCTGCAGGCCAGACTTATCAGTTGTACGCTTTGGCTTTTGAATATTCACCACCACGCCCTTTGCTCACAGATTCTCTTTAGTCATTACACTCCCCATTGTTGAGCTGCCGCTCACACACATAGGTATGTATGTCCAACACATACTTGTCGCTTGGAATCTAAGACTTTGGTTTGATTACATAGTCCCCCTTTTTCGCCTGCTAGTCTCCCAGAGGCTCCTTTACGAAACGGTGTGTCCTATTGTTGCTAGTTATATGCTTGATGTTGATACGTTGTATGTAGCACAGTTTTTGACGGACCTCTTCATTGTCCCAACTCAAAGAATTAACCCGAAACTCTATTCAATATGCGTTTGTCTGCTATGATTTTCATCGTCGCCATGTCGCTTGGTGTCATGTCATACCCTATGGCCTTGTCAACTCGCTACGAAGATCCCTCATTTCGTCAGCTTGGACCTCGCATGCCCGCTCGTAGGTCCCGTAGCAATCTGCTTTCGTCTCCATGCTCATTATTTGCTAACCACAGCTCTTCGTGGCGGAACACGTTTGGGGCTCATGCGTTGGATTTGGAAAGGTAAAATTCCCACAGGGTTCCCTGACTTCAATAAACTTCGCGGCAAATATTTTGTTATTGGGCCCGACCCAACTGGGAGCATTGAGGCCAAGGTCAATGAATTCTGGGCAATATGTGTCGGCTCGCAGTGCTTTACCGTCGAGATGGGCGCATTTTTCGCTCAGGTTGCGAACTTTCACCTATTCTTTCAGCCTGAGCTGTTCCGCCAACACATGACGGACCTTGGGGCTGAAGTTGATTGGAGCACCCCCGAAAAGAAAGACGAGGACATCAGCCGGTTCAAGCAGACTGCGGCTAGTTCGCCTCATATCTTATTGTACTTCAATACCGTCTTGGTTGACCTGTTAGAAAGAGGACGCCTTCACGCGGTGGGCGGTGGGGAAGTGCTGACACAGCTGCCAATTTGGAATGCACATTATAATGCATTCAGAAAGGTTAGTACTGTCTTGTAGATATGGAGACCTATGCGCATCATGAGGTCCGCGTACCCGTGCAATAAATTGATCTAATGAACAAGGCGTCGTTTAGTAGCTGGCCAGCTAAATAGTAAGTTAGACACGAATACGGTGACCCTGGAAATAGCGTCGCCACCCCGAAAAATAAAGTAGAGCTCGAGCACAGTCAGCGATAAGAGGGAGGGAGGGGTTGTTGAAATGAATATGTTCTGAGAGTTCAACAAGTTGAGAGGATGTGCCGGTTCGCGAACCCTTCACGTAATATAGAAAATCAAGGAAATAAGTTATAACAGTAATGTGATCAGCGATGACTAGGAGAACAGTCTTGAACGTGCTGAACCGTGAACGGCGCTGGCCATCGGTGAGATGAGTAAGCAGAAAGGGAGGACTAATAACATTGTATTTTCTCCCTTGCCGATTAGACTTTTGTACATAAATCTTTTCAAGTTCAATGTAAAGAAAACACTGTCATGTAGCGGTACATCCTGTTGAAAAGGCTCCTTTCTTTCACCAAGTCGAGATAAAATTGGAACTTTAACAGCATCCTCACGGCAAACAGCGTATAGATTTGTTCAGTAGACTCAAAACGAACGAGATCTGTAGCAATACATCTCTTAGCTCATAGACGCATAGTGATTTATAACAAGCATAAGTACTATGGAAATCGGCAGGCATGGTACTCTTCGAGCTGGGGTGAACATGGACCGTTTGTAGGAAGTCGAACACTCCCCTTCGCCACCAATGACCCAACTTAGAAGGTTGAAGGACGATGAGCGACGAAGAGAGACTTGGTCTTCGAGACGCGGTGAGGGAGAGGGAACCTGAGTTTCGGAACCAAAAGCTGCTTGATATACGGACGGCGGACGTCTTCAGATTTCTCGATTTCCACAACGCGAAGGATCTAAAAGAATCCAAGGGGATACATGTCAGTAGGGTATGCAACATCCAACGAAAGGTCACTTTAAACGCACATGGATCGACCTGAACCTTGCACGATGCCTCGCAGCCATATCCTGGTACACGCTCTTTACCGCATCTGCCCTCGTCAGCTCACGGTACTCTTTATACATGTTGTGTGTACCAGACCGCGAGTCGTACCGGAGCCAGACACCGAAGTTTTTAACCTTCAGAGGTTTCTTTTCGTGGATCTACAGTTTGGAGGAAAGAAAAGCAAGGCAGAGAAGAGGTTAGCAATCCCATTCCGCCTGCCTCTTGAGGGCTGCAAGGGGCTTAAAAAAGAGTTGTGAAACCAGAGATACGAACAACGTTAACACCAATGATCTCCCCATTGGCTTTCTTGACCTTCTTTAATTGCCTATACGAAAAGGTCAATTGGGGTGTGTTCAACGACGAGTGGGCTGATATTCCAAGAGGCTTCAACCAAATAACATGTGCGCACCTCAAGAAATACCAAAACCTCGACTTGGCAACGACCTCATTGGGCGCAAAGATACGCATGCGGTAGATTTTGGGAGTCGGCTCAGACTCTGTCGGGAGGTGGCGCCCAACAATCTGGAATTCTTGAAGGCCCATATCTATACAGTGCAGAAAACAAAGAGAGTTTATGGTCAGGTTCTTGTTATCCAACGAAAAAGTTCATCCGCCTGTTGATCCAGCGATCCAACACTTCCAAGTCCAATCCCACCATTTCTTTTGACAGTCTTTGAATTTGCGAACCAGCCAGAGACAGCAGAATAGTATTCTGGATATTCGAGAGGGAATCAGGACTCACTTTGCGTTTTCTTGAAGAGTTTTTCGAACGACGGACTAAAAACGAGATTGTTACAACGCACGAGCGTCGGATATCCGGCCCGCAACAGTTTCTCACGATTCAAACTTCCATGAACTTCAATACTTTGGTATTGGTATTGGAGAGTCGGTATTAGAAGCTGATGCAAAGCTCACCTGGCTTAAGCATGTGCGTGCTGATGTGGGGATCTCTCTGCTCTGTACTCTCGTCATGAGGCTTTCTTGCGTTCTGGCCTGGCTCACTCACTGGACGGTCTACGGTGCTACCGCCCCAAGTCGCGCAAACACTAGTATGTACTTGCACACCAGCGAGTCATCTTATAGTACTAGCATGCGCACTTCTCAGATACTTTTGACCTTCGTGCCTCTGAAAGCCTCGCAATACTCAAAGATCCATATCCAGACAAGCCTCGCATAACCTTTCGCGCAGATGGTACATTCAAGATCACCGTATTCTCTGATATGCATTGGGGAGAAAATCCCTGGGATGCTTGGGGCCCAGAACAAGATGCAAACAGTACGAGGCTCATGAAAAGGGTGCTGCCTAGTGAGAATCCAGACTTCGTGTAGGTCACCATTTTCGAACTACTACTAAACTTTATTGAACCGGTAAGGATGAAACGGTAGGGTATTGAACGGAGACTTGATCACGGGTGAAAGTAGGTTTTACGATTTTGCGCTCCAGACCTATAGTTTCCTCAACTACTTTTCTGGAGACGCCTTCAAAGACAATGCGACGTTCCTTATCGACAGGATTGTCGCTCCTCTGAACGCTGCGCAGATTCCATTCTGTTCTACACAAGGAGTGAGTCTGCTCATTTTCTACTCCCATATCGTAAGGGGTTTACGGTACGCTACGCTGTTCAGAACCATGACAATCAGAAGAACATCACACATTTGCAGGAGATTCTGAGGGAACAACAGGTCGCGCCATTGAGTTATACTCGGGTTGCACCTGCGGGCATAGGTGGAGTAGATGGGCCGGGAAATTATTGGGTACCCGTGAGCCACTCTTTAAGGATATTGTTGTGCCCTTATAAAACATATCACTAGGTATACAAGAAGGCATCCGGTATGATGCGTTACATCTCTTTCCTTGTGTACGGATGTTGCATGACAGATGTTTGATGTATAGATTCTGTTCCTGTCCTTGTCTTGTGGTTTTTCGACTCTCGAGGTGTGTATTGTTCAATAAAAAAAGGTTCAAGATCTCAACTTCGTGATTACCTGCAGGAGGTTTCTCCTACGGTGACAACAGTACTGCTATTCCTGATTGGGTAGATGAATCTGTTGCGACCTGGATTGAGAGTGAGAGCGTGGTAATGAACGATGCATGGGGTCCACCAGAAAATCGAGGTGCGTTGGCTTTTGTGCATATTCCACCGTGAGTTCACTTGTTACACTTTTACACGGGGAGGCGCTACTAACACTATTTACAGTCATCTGATTCAAAATCTGCAAGCAAAGCTGAACAGTACGAAGGAACCTGGGTTGAACGGTGAGTTGTATGATTGTCAAACGTTTGTCTCTCTTCTCTGGTTATGAGGCTGATCAGAAATCCTGTATGTTTCTAGCGGATAGCCTAGGGTCGGGATCGACACAGTCCACCACTGATGACGCTGATGTGGGCCAAGACGATGCGTTTTGGAATTCACTGAATTCAAATGTCAAGAACCTACATGCAGTGATATCTGGACACGGTATGTCGGAAAGGCTCTCTCCCTCCTCTGTAACTCACCATCTGCTTTAGATCACGGTGATGAATGGTGTATCCGTGAGCCCACCAAAGATGTCATATTCTGCTTTGACAAGCATGCTGGGTACGGAGGTTATGGTGATTATTGTTGGGGGTATGGTGTACGCAATCTGGTCTTCAACTCTACGGACCCAAAAGGGGGAGTGCAGACATGGATTAGGCTGGAAGACGGTGATATAAGGGCAAATGTTATTTTGGATCCAAGTTATTCATGATGACTGGCAGTGGGATATGTTTCAATTCATGTATGACAAATGAGCAAAAAGTACATGACCCCTGCCCGGATTGAACGGACGACCTTGAGGAAGCTCCATTGCTGGAATCTCACATTCTACCGCTGAACTAAGAGGTCTATGACTATACATGACCTGATAGTAATAGGACAATAAAGCAAATGCATGAAAGTGTATATAATAGAAAGCTCATGTAGGTTCTAGAACTACACCGTTGCAGAACGTTGCAGAACAGACCAAGATGACCAAACAGAAGGATTGGATTGGGTCCATCTCACGTGATTGAGGTCTGGAGCGGGTCCGATAGGCCGGATCTTCTGTCCGTTCAGGATAGTCTTCAACTCATCCAAATTTGGCCTCTGAATATGAGTATAAAATCGTAGAATCTGTTCCACTGTCTTCGCTTCCTACTTCCATTTTTTTGCGAGCAGCCTTTGACAGACAGCTGGGAATTAATCAAGTCATCTCATTCGCGAAGGGTCAGGTTTGTCATCTGACGGGAGTAGATAAACTTGTAAGCTTGCATTGAAATTTTCGACTAAACACCACACCAAGAAGTTTTCTGGGAGGACTGTAGCCGGCTGCTGTTCAAAGAGCCAAAACCGCTGTCTTTTTCCCTACACTGTATAAATACCCGTATGGCCGGCACTTTTCCGCAGAATATTCCTCGTCCATTTACTTCTCCCGGTCGAACACACACTTCTTCTCTCTCGCCTGCTGCTCGGTTTCACGGCTACAGCACTAACCAGGATAACGAAGACGAGGTCGGCTTGACGACAACGAGTAATACAGCTTTCCCTCAGGGTCTCGAACAACCGCCTGCCGGATCACAGGGAATATCAAGAACGACAGCGACAGAAGCTTCTTCTTCTACTCCTTCTGCTGACCTGGGTCTGCCACGTAACTTTACCGTCTCTGCACTCGCCCCACAGCTGCAGTCGTCGCCGTATATCCAATATCTCTACGGCACATTGGATCGAGGACAAGGTTATAGTACTACAAATTCGGCAAGAACATCTTATACGAGAGTAGACTCGACAGCTATGGGAGATAATCCGACTCTCGAAGCTGAGAATGGTTCGCAGGACGTAGACCGGGAAGGAGCAATCGTTTCTGGTGTTGGAGATGCTCCTGTCGAGGAGCAAATACAAGCAATCCCACAAACACCTATTGTTTCCGTTTGTTTTTTGATGATTTCTGGAAGACGGAGAGTGATGACTTTCGAGCCGGAAACAACCGTGGGCAGAGTTAAGGAGCTGGTCTGGAATACATGGCCATCGGGACCAGGTCGGTCTTCTTCTCACTCTCACACGACCAAAAACTCATCCAACCTTAATTCAGATTGGCAAGAGGAACGGCCTTCTACTCCATCTCATTTGAGAATTCTACATCTAGGCAAAATTTTACAGGATGAAGAAACGTTGACAGGTGAGTTCCCTGTTATATCATTTGAACCACCCTCCTTACACCTTTCCAGCATGTAATTTCCCAATTCATACCTCTTCTACTTCATCTTCGCCCACGATTGCTCTACCTCCACCTACCATTGTTCATCTCGCTATTCGCCCCGCAGGACCCGGGTTCACTGATTTCGGGGATCATGGGGACTTGGAGAAAAAGAAAAGCAGGGGTCCCAGGACAAGATTAGTTGCTCGCTTCAGCTCGGTTTTGGCGAGTGCCGATAGTGCGAATGAAGCGACTTCGTCACCAGTTCAGGGAACGTCAGTTAGCGCAGGAACCTCATCCATTTCTCAACAGCAAAGCTCTGCAGACGACTCGCATGGCTGTACTTGCTGTATCGTGTGTTGAATGACATTGCAAACCAATGTGCAATTCTCCTACACGCTCTTCCTGCCTGAACATGGACGACACTAGTTCGGCTAATTGCTGTCTATGGACCTTTTGACCTCTGATATGCTGTCATTCTCTCATTTTCCCCTGCGCCTGCTCTACTCCGATACCTGCTTGCTTTCGTAATGGTTTTGCCTGCACTGGCAGAATATGTCTATATTTGCGCATATCACCGTACATGCTGCTGTACATATCTATATCCGCAAACAGCTACGATTATCCCCTTGGGTGGTCACTTTCGACGTTTTCCCGGTGTGCTTCCTGTCAGTCGAACATTCGATGACGAGGACCACCTTTACCAACGCCTTCGAACACCTGTACACAGTGTGGTTCTGAAGAAATATCTGCCCGGCGAGTGCGACCACAAAGATTTTGCGTATAAAGGAGGCTGCTCGATACTTCAACATGGCATACGGAGGAGAGGGATGCATGATCGAATCCTCATTTTCCTTTTCAACGACCCTCATGACGTTGACGAAATGAAACGAGTTTTTTTTGTTTTTTTTTTCTTTTGCGATACCTTAATCGATGATCATCACTTACTCTTTCGCTCTTCCTCATAGTGAGGAGCTTGCAGGTTGTCCGGCTGCTGTCGTTCACCCACTGATAGATCCTCTGGCATCACATTATTCATTGTACTGGGCAGATCCTGAACTGTGAAGCATTTTTGCTACGCTCCAAGTAGTACCATTAAGTACTCGTTTCCAGACCAGCCGCTATGTGACGCGCTACCTAAACATTACTCTATAATAAGTTCATTCTGGTGCTTTTTGACTCTTTCTAACTGTTGGCCATCGATTTTTGAGAATGATCCGGAACCCATCTCGCTCCATGAGTTATGCAGGACAGCAAGAAGCACTGACCGAGGTGGTCATATATCAGGATGTTTTTTGCTATCTGATGATCATTGTAGAACGAGTATAAACCAGACATAAACAAAACGACGATTTCCCTCTATAATAAGTACTCCTACAGAGGACTCGAACAGAAACAATTTGAGGTAAGCTTCTATGACGAAAAACAATGCATACATATATAACTTAATCTGATAGTATCTGGCATGTGCAATGTACGAACCATGTAATAAACCGAAGGTAAATGCGAAACGGAAGGGTAAATGTGACTCGAGGCAACTTGGTTAATGACCAAGGAGACGCCTTCTAACGCATGGATTTTGGATTCAGGTATGTCAGGAGACTTTCTCTCCTCGTGCAAGCTCTTCAGCCTCTCCTATCGTTCCAATAGGAATACTCTGCGATCCCATATCACCGCCTATGCCTGGGACCATCTAGTTATCTATCGATGGCGCAGCACTAGCAGACTAGAGATATGCATCTTCTCAATTCTCGATCCTCCTTGAATGAAACTGTTATGGTTTGTCTATTTTCCACAAGTTGAAGAACCTCTTGGAGGATGGAACTTGTCCCCCGGAGTCAGCCTGTACATCGTTTGCTTCACGTTGCTTCATACACGTTCTTCTCATCATAACTTCGATATTTTCCCTATCCTTCGCGCCAAGCTGGTGGCAGTCTGCTCTCACAATTCCTGAACCTTCTTTTTCTACTGTACTCGGCACCCGCTCAACCTACGACTTGCGCACAGTATTTCATCAACGTTCTATTCTCACAGATAGGTTTCTTGGGGGGAGAAAAATGTACACCACTGATCTTTTTTTGTGACGGAGATCGTAGATGCAATGGCAAAACACGTCCTTTCACTTTAGTCCTTGTCGGTATAAGTTTGTTTATGTTATCTAGACATTTACGCTCAATCCTCAGGCCTCAGATCCTGCTGATCGTGGCAATAGCAGCTCATGACGAAGGTTCGGCCACAAAATTTGGGGGTCACTGGCATACAGACTGCAGATTACTCCTCGTTGACATCGTAAGGAAGCACCTCTCCTCAACCATCCTGTTGGATGATATTCCCGTTTGTACTTTTGTAAATACTTGTCAAAGTATTAAATAGATAAATGCGAGAATTCAAGCAATCGTAAAAGAAATAAAACCAACTATGGACGCCTCGACGATCTTCTTCTATCTCGTGAATCAGCCTTATGTTTCGAAGTCAAGAGGTTTCGGCGTTCGTATCAGATCGAGCTTCTGTGAAAGATCTCATTAATGTCGGAAAGTAGCCAATGATAACCCAGTTACACTACAGTCAACGTACAATGGACGTCTCGGAGGATATAGAAAGGAAACCCGTTTTCCCCTCCCAGAAAGATTTGTCGCAATCGATACTCAAAATTCTAGATCAATCATATAGCTTGGTAGTCTATCCGAGCCTCTGGGGTATGTGAGGAAATTTACTTGTCTTTTCTGAACTCGAGCAGGCACATTTTTGTAGCTTAATTTTACGCCACAGTAAGATCTACATACATGGAGAGAATATGTTCTGCACGTACAGTACATAAAGTGTACTTCGACTGGAGTATCACGGCTAGACTACTGCGGTCAATGGAAAGTTCAAGCACGACGACGGGGGCGCGAAGGGACCCCGACACAGGTAACGTTTGCAACGACGGGCAGGAGTTGCTCATCAGCAACATAGGCAGGGGTATTCGTGTTCCTCTCAACTACAGCCCCTAGAGTCTACAAGTTTCATGGGTTAGATACAGGTTACAAACACTGAAGATAACAGCGCAATGTTTACCAATGTATCGTTGTCCTTGAGAGCAACTTCGCCAGTGATTCGCGTGCCATTGACATAGGTGCCAAAGACGGACCCGAGGTCTCGAATAAAAATCTTTGTAGAAAGAGGCAAAGTGGTTAGAAGCCTACAGTCCCCAGGCACATGAGACTTACTGTGCTATCGCTGCTCCAAATCTGAGCGTGGTCCGGGCTCAGAGAAATGGGAGATACCGGAGCTCGTCCATCCACTGGAATAAGGGGAGCAAACCATCCGTTGGTTGAGGTGGCACTCCTGTTAGTGGAGGTTTGTCCAGAGATTGTATCCTTCGTTTGTGAGCCAAGGATTACTGAAATGTTGCTTGGTAACGGTATGTATTTCGAAGCGAAGGGAAAGCTTTCCGACTTCGCTTTGAGAGCGAGTATGGGTGGGACTGGGATATTCATTATCGATGTACTGGGTCGACAACGAGTAAACCTATCGAAAGGGGATTCAAAGTGCAAGTCTCTGCTTGTCTGAGAATAAATACCACGACTTTCGAAGTCGATATATCGGTCAATGAGATTTGCTTCGTCATCTTTTCCAATTTACCCACCAGCAGGGAGAGTAACGCATTGGTGAAATGGTGACAATTCTGAGT